ATTAAAGAATAAAAAGAAAAAAAGAAAAAGAAAAAAAGTTCATAAATGTCTCTAACACCTGAAAATAATTTTGAAGGGCCTCATTTTTCAAACGGACCTACAAGTAGAACTGTATGTAAACTTTAAGATCAAAAAAAAAAATCTAAATACTTTTACATGTAAAGTGTTTATTAACATATTTGTATTTCTTTAGACAATAGGACAATTTTCAAGAATGAATATTCATGAGCAATTTGAATCGTTAATTCAAAATGCTGTTCAAGTAAGTTATAAATCAACAAAACCAATTTTTGTTCCCCATGTTATTATTCACCGTGTGTATTCATAGTATTTATTGAAAATTATCACTCTTTTAGGAAAAGGATAAAGAAATAAAAACTTTAAAAGAACAAATCGACAAATTAAGAGAAGAAAATGAAAAATTATCAAAACAAGTGCGTCACTCATTTCCTTTCAATGATTTCAATTTTTTTCTAATATTATGAACATCAAATTAAATTTTCTCTGTTTTCAAATTTACCCCTACCCCCCTTGATTTGGTAATATTAGATCGGTCATGGTGGTCATGGTGATATTAAGAATAAAGCCGAAACTTTGAAAAAAGCACTTGATGACTTTTTGGAGGTATATTTTGTATACTTTTAATTTTATTATTTTTATAGATCAAAAAATAAATGAATTGGGTATTAACATTATTTTGTTATTTCTTTGATAAATAGCATCCAAATTCAAATAGACACCCGACCTTTAGTAGTAGATTACAACAAGCTTCCCACATTCCTCCTTCTGTTTCAATCCCAAATTCCAATATTGATGGTATAGTTAATATAAGATTGGATTTATGTAAAATAAAAAATACTTTTTTATATTAAAATTTCTTATTTATCATAGTTAAACCATCAACTTCTACTCGACCAGATGAACTTTCAGTGAATAGTCAGAGATTTAATCCAAATCGTAATTTCAATTCCCACAATTCTCACAATTCTCATGAAGATTTTAGCGTATGTATCTATACGTATATTTTGCTTTGTTTCCCATAAAAAAATAATATATATATATTTTTTTTTTTTTT